AGTCAAATCCCTGAATTGATGAATAACAAGTTCTGAAATTGAGGCAATGATTAATTAATAGCCTACCAACAAAAAAAGTGCAGGACCAGATGGATTCACAGCTGAATTCTACCAGAGGTACAAAAAGGAGCTGGTACCACTCCTTCTGAGAAACTATTCCAAACAATAGAAAAAGAGGGAATCCTCCCTAACTCATTTTATGAGACCAGCATCATCCTGATACCAAAACCTGGCAGAGACAAAAAAAAAAAAAAAAAAAAAAAAAAAAAAGAAAATTTCAGACCAATATCCCAATGAACATTGATGTGAAACCCTCAGTAAAATACTGGCAACCCAAATCCAGCAGCACATCAAGAAGCTTATCCATCGTGACCAAGTTAGCTTCATCCCTGGGATGCAAGGCTGGTTCAACATACACGAATCAACATAATCCATCACATAAGCAGAACCAATGACAAAAACCACATGATTATCTCAATAGATGCAGAAAAGGCCAAAATTCAACAGCCCTTCATGCTAAAAATTCCCAATAACCTAGTTATTGATGAAACATATCTCAAAATAATAAGAGCTATTCATGACAAACCCACAGCCAATATCAGACTGAATGGATAAAAACTGGAAGAATTCCCTTTGAAAAGTGGCACAAGACAAGGATGCCCTCTTTCACTACTCCTATTCAACATAGTATTGAAAGTTCTGGCCAGGGCAATCATGCAAGAGAAGGAAATAAAGGTATTCAGATAGGAAGAAAGGAAGTCAAATTGTCTCTGCAGATGACATGATTGTATACTTGGAAAACCCTATCATCTTAGTCCAAAATCTCCTTAAGCTGATAAGCAACTTCAGCAAAGTCTCAGGATACAAAATCAATGTGCAAAAATCACAAGCATTCCTCTACACTAATAACAGATGGAGAGCCAAATCATGAGTGAACTCCCATTCACAGTTGCTACAAAGAGAATGAAATACCTAGGAATAAAACTTACAAGAGATGTGAAGGACCTCTTCAAGGACAACTAGAAACCACTGCTCAATGAAATGAGAGGACACAAACATATGGAAAAACATTCCATACTCATGGATAGGAAGAATCAATATTGTGAAAATGGCCATACTGCTCAAAGTAATTTACAGATTCAATGCTATCCTCATCAAGCTACCACTGACTTCACAGAATTGGAAAAAACTACTTTAAAGTTCATATGGTACCAAAAAAGAGCCCACATAGCCAAGAGAATCCTAAGCAAAAAGAACAAAGCTGGAGCCATTATGCTACCTGACTTCAAACTATACTTCAAGCCTACAGTAATAAAAACAGCAGGGTACTGGTACCAAAACAGATACATAGACCAGTGGAACAGAACAGAGGACTCAGTAATAACACCACACATCTATAGCCATCTGATCTTTGACAAACCCAACAAAAACAAGCAATGGGGAAAGGATTCTCTATTTAATAAATGGTGTTGGGAAAACTGGCTAGCCGCATGCAGAAAGCTGAAACTGGGTTCCTTCCTTATACCTTACACAAAAATTAACTTAAGATGGATTAAAGACTTAAACATAAGACCTGGGACCATAAAAACCCTAGAAGAAAACCTAGGCAATCCCATTCAGAACACAGGCATGGACAAAGACTTCATGACTAAAACACCAAAAGCAATGGCAACAAAAGCCAAAATTGACAAATGGGATAGAATTAAACTAAAGAGCTTCTGCACAGCAAAAGAAACTATCATCAGGGTGAGTAGACAACCTACAGAATGGGAGAAACTTTTTGCAATCTGCCCATCTGACAAAGGGCTAATAACCAGAATCTACAAAGAACTTAAACACATTTACAAGAATAAAACAGACAACCCCATCAAAAAGTGGGTAAAATACGTGAACAGACACTTCTCAAAAGAAGACATTTATGTGGGCAACAAACATATGAAAAAAAGCTCATCATCACTGGTCATTAGAGAAATGCAAATCAAAACCACATTGAGATACCAACTCATGCCAGTTAGAATGGTGATCATTAAAAAGTCAGGAAATAACAGATGCCGGAGAGGATGTGGAGTAATAGAAACACTTTTACACTGTTGGTGGGAATTTGAATTAGTTCAACCATAGTGGAAAACAGTGTGGCAATTCCTCAAGGATCTAGAACTAGAAATATCATTTGACCCAGCAATTCAATTACTGGATATATATCCAAAGGATTGTAAACCATCCTAGTATAAAAACACATGTGCAATATGTTTATTGGGGCACTGTTCACAATAGTGAAAACTTGGAACCAACCCACATACCCATCAAAGATAGACTGGATAAAGAAAATGTGGCACATACACACCATGGAATACTATGCAGCCATAAAAAGGATGAGTTCATATCCTTTGCAGGGACATGGATGAAGCTGGAAACCATCATTCTCAGCAAAGTAACACAAGAACAGAAAACCAAACACCACATATTTCCACTCATAAGTGGGAGTTAAACAATGAGAACACATGAACATAGGGAGGGGAACATGACACACTGAGGGCTGTTGAAGAGTTGGGGGATTAGGGGAGGGACAGCATTAGGAAAAATACCTAATCTAGATGACGGGTTGATGGGGTGCAGCAAACCATTATGGCACGTGTATACCTTTGTAACAAACCTGCACATTTGGCACATGTACCCCAAAACTTAAAGTATAGTTTAAAAAATAAACATTTAATTTAAAAAGATCATTAATTAGATATGAAATCCCTAGAGTTTTCAGGCAACATACAGGAAGCTCGGTTAAATTTGATGGGCAAGACTTTGTTGTATATGCATCTCCCAAATATTAAATGGGATGGAACATGCTTATATTTAAATATTATTCATTGTTCATCTGAAGTTCAAATTTACCTGGACATCTTGTATTTTTAGTTGCTAAACCTGGCAACCCTACCGTAAAGGCAAGTTAGATAGGCAGCCAACAAGTGCATTGCGTAGTTTACACAAAACAAAGCAGTCAGCATGGATTACTGGGCGGGGCACAGTGGCTCATGCCTATAATCCCAGCAATTCTGAAGGTTGATTTGGGAGGGTTGCTTGAGTCCAGGAATTTGAGACCAGCCTGGGCAACACAGTGAGACCTTGTCTCTATTATGAATTTAAAAAAAGAAGAAGAATGGATTATTGGAAGGCTATTTTTTTTTTTTTGGCTGGGATTCACATATTTTTTTAAACAAACACTTGATTACAAAAGCAGTTCCAACCACAGGAATAGTTATAAACATAAAGTTATGACATTAATTAGAAATTTTGTAAATTACCAACATAATTTTGAAGGTCCTATTTTACCTCTTCTAAGTTAAAAAATGTTTTAAAAATATTTTCCTACAATATGTATTCATTTCAGTACTATATCTTTTATTAATAAGAATAATTTGGTATTGAGTAGCAATTAGGTGGAAGAAGTGAGAAAAATGTCTGATCTTGGGAGGCTGATGGAAGTTCTTTCAAGATAAAGTCATAGGTATGGCTGTGTACTAGGAAATGCATTAAGAAGGAAGCACACTGCCCAGAAGGCATCCTCAGGCTCCAGAGGCAGCATATTCCACACTTGCAGTACTGTTCCTACCCATTTACTGAGTGACATGAATACACCAGCTTTCAGTAGGTCCAGAATGCGAAAGGGCTCAGGAGAAGGTCCAGACTTTCCCGCAAGCATACCTGCCACTTGGGCCATATGACGCAGCAGGCCCTATTGTTTACATGTGGCATGGAGTTTATGGTAAGCTCCAGATGGAGAATTACAATGTAAACCTGTCGGGTTCTGGAGCAAGTCATGCTGATGCAAGAGGTGGGCTCCTACAGCCTTGGGCAGCTCCACTTCTGTGGCTTTGCAGGATATAACCCCACTTCCAGCTGCTTTCACAAGCTGGTGTTGAGTGCCTATGGCTTTTCTAGGTGTACTGTGCAAGCTATCGGTAGATCTATCATTCTGGACTCTGGAGGATAGTAGCCCTCTTCTCATAGCTTCACTAGGAAGTGCCTCAATGGGAACTCCGTGTGTGGCCCCTCACCCCACATCTCCCTTCCATACTGCCCTAGCAGAGACTCTCTATGTAGCTGTGTCTCCACCCAAATCTCATCTTGAATTGTATTTCGCATAATCCTCACATGTTGTAGGAGGGACCTGCTAGGAGGTAATTGAATCCTGGGGGAAGTTATTTCCATGTTGTTCTTGTAATAGTGAGTGAATTCTCATGAGATCTGATGGTTTTATAAGGGGCTTTTCCCCTTTGGCTCAGCACTTCTCCTTGCTGCTGCCGTATAAAGAAGAATGTGTTTTCTTCCCCTTCTGCCATGATTATAAGTTCCCTGAGGTATCCCCAGCCATGATGAACTGTGAGTATTAAACTTCTTTCCTTTATAAATTACCCAGTCTCTAGGGTATGTCTTTAATAGCAGCATGAGAATGGACTAATACATATGCTTTCAGAGACTGTTTACAGAGAGTTCTAGAATAGAATTTATAGTTATCTTTCTTGTTCTACAATTGGTTGTAAAGAATCTACCCCCTCTATTTGATTTTTAATCCTAGATAGCAGAGACACTGTTTTCTTTATATATGACATTTCTATCACCTAGTGCTTAGTGTATGGCAAGTCTTCACTAGATGTTTGTTAGACTAAACTAAAAATTACCTGACATAAAAAAAACACAAGTCATAAACACACAAATTTCATGTGGCTCAGTTCACTCTTGTAATCAGCATTTAGCTAAATTTCAGTAAAGGAAGCAGAAAGTTGTCATTCTCAAATCCAAACTAATTTTTAATCATGAATTGATTTAGTTTAACCTTTGGCTCAATACCCATTCAGTAAATAGTAGTCCTTTCATTATTACAAATTGAGGTTGCTTGCATTTGTACAAAAAGTAAGTCAATGAGATCTGCTTAAAGTAAATTGTAGATTATGCTATAGGCAAATGTTAAAAGAAACAAGCAAAGAGAGAAAAGGTAAGCTTACTGATCTAGGTTCTGAGTAGGTACCAAGTCCGATTATGGGAATGCTGTTTCCGTCACTTAGAGGTATGCGATGACTTGCAGCACTGAGATCCATTGTGAAGAGAGAATCTGATTGCAGGAGTGATATTGAACACCAAGGAGTCTTTTCGAAGAGATGTCCTAGGGCCTATTCAGTCAATAAAAAGAAGGCCAGAGGGAGGAGCAGAGGGAAGGGATATTAATAGATCTATTTCTCAACCTGTTGTTTTTCTAGGCTTTCCTGGAAATCCTGAGCATGTTTGTCCTTTGAACTTCAACAGAGGCTTGTAAAACATAATGTATTGAGAGCTTACACTTACTTCTTTGCAACAAAATATTGAAAAAACAAAAAGAAACAAATCTATCTGGCCTCTATCAGTTAGGATGCATTTGTTGGCAAATAACAAACTGATATGGTTTGGCTGTGTTCCCATCCAAATCTCATCTTGAATTGTAGCTCTGATAATCCCCATGTGTCATGGGAGAGACTCGGTGGGAGGGAATTGAATCATCGGAGTGTGTTTTTCCTGTGCTGTTCTCATGATAGTGAATAAGTCACATGAGATCTGATGATTTTTTAAAGGACAGTTCTGCTGCACATGCTTTCTTGTCTGCTGCCACGTAGGATGTGCCTTTGCTCCTCCTTTGCCTTCTGCCATGATTGTGAGACCTCCCCAGCCATGTGGAACTGTCAGTCAATTAAATCTCTTTTTCCTTATAAATTATCCAGACTTGGTTTACCTTTATTAGTAGTATGACAAAGGACTAATACACAGACTTACCTTAAATTCTTTTTTTTTTTTTCTGGTGGTTTTTTTGTTTTTGTTTTTGTTTTTTTGAGACAGGGTTTTGGGGAGGAGGGAAAGCAAAAAAAAAAATTTTTTTTTTAATTAAAAAAAATTAAAAAGAGACAGGGTCTTACTCTGTCACCCAGGCTAGAGTGCAGTATCATGATCTCAGCTCACTGCAAACTCAGCCTCCTGGGTTCAAGCAATTCTCCTGCTTCAGCCTCCCAAGTAGCTGGGACTACACGCATGTGCCACCACACCTGGCTAATTTTCTGATTTTTTTAATTTTTTTTTTTTTTTTTTTTTTTGAGACAGAGTCTCACTCTGCTGCTCAGGCTGGAGCGTAGGTAGTGCGATCTTGGTGCACTGTAACTCTGCCTCCCAGATTCAAGCCCTTCTCCTGCTTCAGCCTCCTGAGTAGCTGGGATTACAGGTGCCTGCCACCACATCCAGCTAATTTTTGTATTTTTTTTTTTTTCCGAAAGGGCCCAACCCCCTGGGAATGTCACCAGCAGGTTTGGCTTTGTCTGGCCTTTATTAAAGATGGCGTCAGTCTGGTTAGGACACTTTTTTTTTTTTTTAAGAGGAAGAAAGAGAGAAAGAAAGAGAAAGAATAAAAAAAAAAAGAAAAAGAAAAAAAAAGAATGAAGGAGAAGAAGAAAGAGGAAGAGGAAGAGGAAGAGGGAGAGAGAACAGGGATGTTGCTTTATTGCCCGGGCTAGAATGCAGTCTAAAAATGGGTATGCCTATAATTGTGTTCAATAATAGAGACATAAAAAAAATGAGGGAAGAAAATAATTAACAAGCAGCCAACCAATATTTCATTTAAACCTATAAATAGGTGTGATGTGGTACTGATAAGAGTGTATATTTTGTGTATTTAAAGTGGAGAGTTCTATAAATGTTAATTAAGCCTACTTGTTCCGGATCTGAGTTCAAGTCCTGGATATCGATGTTAACTTTCTGTCTCATTGATCTGTCTAATATTGATGTTGAAGTCTCCCACTATTATTGTGTGGGAGTCCAAGTCTCTTTATAAGTCTTATATATCTGGGTATTCCTGTATTAGGTGCGTATATGTTTAGGATCTTTAGCTCTTCTTGTTACATTGATCCTTTTATCATTATGTAATATCCTTCTTTGCTTCTTTTGATCTTTCTCATGAGTTAAGCTTATCACCAGTTAAACAGGACTAGAGAAAAAATAATATGGCCAGGACTAATTTCTCACTTCTTGTTCTTCTGTCTGCCTTCTTGCTCTCTCAGGAAACTGTCTCTCTCAGTCCCCTTATTACTGAAAGGTATTTACTGACTGTCCTTGGAGTGACATGGTTTCAAACTCAAACAACAAAAAAGAGATTTTACTTTCTCAATAGCTTAAACAGTAGTCCTGAAATTGAACCTTGTCAGCATTGATTACCTTTCTTGGTTCATGGATCCATTACAAAATCAATCACAGTGGCCAAAAGAAATAAAAGACATTGCCCTAAAAAAATTAGAAACTATTTCTAAATTTGGATTTGGAGGTTGAAGGAGTGCAGGACATTCTACCCTGACATATGGCTCCCTAGTAAAATAAAGATTTTGAATTAAGACCCTTAGAGATCAACAAGCTCTGGAAAAGACCCCCCTGTCTACATAAAGATAGGAGGGACCCATCAAAGAGGACAATTGTTCTTTTTCCCCTCCCTGTTATCTCATGATCCATCACCTAAAAAGAAGACCAAGAATGTGCTGGGACTCAGAAACTGATACCCCAAAATATGGCACTTTGACATACTGAACTGGAAAGCCTCAAGATCTCTCTGACCTTTACTCCCTACCACCTCTCCCAAAGTGAAGTTTCTTTGTATCCCTAAGATCCAGACCCACCAAAAGCAACTTTTTCCTTTCCCTGTAAGACCAAGAATGTAACCCCTTCTGAACAAACCCTTTCACAAGGTAATGTACAAGGTAATCTCTGCTTCCTGATCCATTCATTCTCCCTAGTGATCCCCTCAACAGAATTCCTCTTTCCCCCTCTTCCGTAACCTTATTTGCCAGTAAATAAGTTTCTAAACCCTGTTGTGGGTGGGTAACCATTCTGTGGTTCTCCCTATATACACATATTTTTAAATAAAATTGTGTGAGTTGATTTTTCAGTGAAACTTCAGAAGGCAAAGAGGACATTTCCCTGGCCTGTGTACTTCACAGGTCACTGAGTCCACAATGGTTAAAATGTCCTGAAGTTGAAACTGGCAAAATCGTCTTATGTTTATGGATTTTTGAATAAACATAGACAGTGGCCCTCTGTCTTAAAACTTGAAACTTACATTTGTCTTAACTGAGTTTTTTCCTCAGGAAACTGACCCTCAGGCAAGGGACTGAAACGCACTAGAGCACCACATCCAGATAATGAGACACCAAATGCCTCATTCATCAGGATTGCTTCCTTAACCCTTCCTAATTTCTGTTTTCCCACCTTCTCAGCTACGTAAACAGACCAATTTTTGTCAGTCAGGGAGACAGATTTGAGACTGACGTCCTGTTCTTCTTGGCTGCAGGACTAGATTAAAGCCTTCTTCTCTGGCAATCTTTGTTGACTCAGTGATTGGCATTCTGTGCAGGGAGCAGCAGGACCTTGACTGAACTCCTGGTGTTCAAAATTTGTCTATAAGTGACTTGCCTTCCCTCCAAGAGTCATTCTTGCTTATGTACACATGAACACATAACATGTATATAACATGCATAGTATTCACATGAACAGCAGACACAGTAATTTAAACTAGGCTGTAGCAGTGTGGAACATGGCAGTAGTGGCCTCCAATACCATTTTTTAATTGATCCAACAAATGCTTACTGTGCACCTTTGTGTGCTAAAATGTTGATTAGCATGTGTTTATTATTTTTATTATTACTGATTTTTTGCATTTAGTTCTATGCATTTAACATATATATATATTTTTATAACCACCACAATTGGGATACTGAAAAGTGCTATAAACCCAAGGAACTCTATCCTATCACACCCTCCCCTAACCTTTAATCCATAGAAATCACTGTTTTTCATCACCTTAGTTTTATTTTTTGAAATTATCATAAAAATTGAATCATACGATTTAAAATTTCTTGAGATTGGCTTCTTTCACTCAGCATAATGCCTTTGAAATTCATTGGTAAATACCCAGGAGTGAGATTATAAGGTAATGTGATAAATGTATGTTTTGCTTTGTAAGAAACCACCAAATGGCCATTCAGAATGACTATCATTTTGCATTCCCAGTAGCAATGCATGTGAATTGCAGTTGTTCTGCGTCCTGACAGCACTTAGTATTAAAAAATACTAGCCTTCTAATACATTTCTTGTGTTATCTCACTGTTATTTTAATTTGCATTTCCCATGTGTCTAATGATGATGAACACATTTTCTTTTTTCCTTTTTTTGTTTTTTAGAGAGAAAGGGTTTTGTTCCATCCCCCAAACTGAGTTACTGTGGCATGATTATAGCTCACTGCAGCCTCTATTGCCTGGGATCAAGTGATTTTTCCTGCTTTACCCACCTGAGCAGCTGGTATTACCAGTGAGTGCCACCATGTATGGCTGTTTTAAAAATTTTTTTTGTAGAGACAGGCATATTACCATGTTGCTCAGGCTGCTCTCGAACTCCTGGTTCAAGCAATCCTCTTCCCACCTCAGCCTCCCAAACTGCTGGGATTACAGGCCTGAGTCACTACGCCTGGCCCACCTTTTCTTATGCTTAGTTGCCATCTGTATATCCCCTTGGTGAAGTGCCTATTTAAATCTGCTCATTTTAAAAATTGGATTATCTTAGTGTTGAAATTTTAGATTCCTTGGTAAATTCTTGATGTGTATTTTTTTAATAGATATGTGGTTTGCAAATATTTTTTCTTGGTCTGTATCTTGTCTTTTCATTCTCTTAATTTTATCTTTCGTAAACAAAAGATTTTAATTTTGATAATGTTCAGCTTGTCATTTTCTTTGTATTGTACTTTTGAGTATCTAACCCAAGGTCATGAAAATTTAATTCTACATTTTTTTCTGAAAGTTATATATTTTCATATTTTCTGTTTAGATCTATGATTAATTTTGAGTAAATTTTTGTATAATTGAAGAGATTTAGTTGTTTTATTTTGAATAAGGCTGCCTTATTGTTTCAGTTACATCTGTTGAAAAATATGTGCTTTCTTCACTGAATTTCTTTTGCACCACTGTTAAAAATAAAAGACCATATTTTGGTAGGTCTGTTTTTGGACTTTCTATTTTGTTTCATTTTTTTTGTTGTTTTATTTCTGTGAACTCTGCATAGAAATAGGTTTCACTGATTTATTTGTCTCTTCTTTCATTGATACCATACTGTCATGATTTTTGTAGCTTGATC